GTGCTGATTCCCCCACCTCAAATGCGAATTGGGGTCCTGCCGGGGTCTGGGGGCTGATCCCATCCCCTGTACACAAACTGGGGTGTTCCCGGGGTCTGGGGGCTGATCCCATTCCCAAAATACGGACTGGGGTCCTCCCGGGGCCTAGGGGCTGATCCCATTCCCAAAACACGGACTGTGGTGTTCCCGGGGTCTGGGGGTTGATCCCATTCCCAAAACACGGACTGGAGTGTTCCCGGGGTCTGGGGGTTGATCCCATTCCCCAAAACACGGACTGGGGTGTTCCCGGGGTCTGGAGGCTGATTCCACCACCCCAAACACGATTTTGGGGTCCCTGGGTGCTGATTCCCCCAGCCTAAACACAAATTGGGGTGTTTCTGGTATCTGGGGGCTGATCCCATTCCCCAAACACGGACTGGGGTGTTCCCGGGGTCTGGAGGCTGATTCCACCACCCCAACCACTATTTTGGGGTCCCTGGGTGCTGATTCCCCCAGCCTAAACACAAATTGGGGTGTTTCTGGTATCTGGGGGCTGATCCCATTCCCCAAACACGGACTGGGGTGTTCCCGGGGTCTGGAGGCTGATTCCACCACCCCAACCACTATTTTGGGGTCCCTGGGTGCTGATTCCCCCACCCCAAACACGGACTGGGGTGTTCCCCGGGTCTGGGTGCTGATTCCGTGCCTCAAACACCAATTTGGGTCCTCCCGGGGTCTGGAGGCTGATCCCTCACCCCAGACACGATTTTGGGGTCCCTGTGTGTTGATTCCCCCACCTCAAACGTGAATTGGGGTCCTGCCAGGGTCTGGGGGCTGATCCCATCCCCCCAAAACACGGACTGGGGTGTTCCCGGGGTCTGGGGGCTGATCCCTCACCCTAGACACGATTTTGGGGTCCCTGTGAGCTGATTCCCCCACCCCAAACACAAATCTGGGTCCTGCTGGTGTCTGGGTGCTGATTCCATCCCCAAAACACGAATTGGGGTTCCTGGGTGATGATTCCCCCACCTCAACCAAAAATTGGGGTCCTCTCGATGTCCAGGTGCTCATCCCTCACCCCAGACACTATTTTGGGGTCCCTGGGTGCTGATTCCCCCACCCCAAACACAAATTGGGGTCCTGCCAGGGTCTGGGGGCTGATCTCATCCCCAAAACACGAATTGGGGTGTTCCCGGGGTCTGGGGGCTGATCTCCCCACCCCAATCCCCCTGGTGTCTGGATGCTGGTTCCCCCATTGCAAACGACCAATTTGAGTCCTGCCGGGGTTTGGGGGCTGATCCCACCACCCCAATCACTATTTTGGGGTCCCTGGGTGGCGATTCCCCCACCCCAACCACAAATCTGGGGTTCTCCCGGTGTCTGGGTGCTGATTCTCCCACCCCAAACACGAACTGGGGTCCTCACAGAGTCTGGGGGCTGATCCCAACCCCAAAACACGAATTGGGGTCCTCCTGGTGTCTGGGTGCTGGTCCCCAAACACGATTTGGGGGTCCCTGGGTGCTGATTCTCCCACCCTTACCACAAATCTGGGTCCTGCCGGTTTCTGGGTTCTGATTCCATCCCCTAGACACGAATTGGGGTTCCTGGGTGATGATTCCCCCACCTCAACCAAAAATTGGGGTCCTCTCGATGGCCGGCTGCTCATCCCTCACCCCAGACACGATTTTGGGGTCCCTGGGTGCTGATCCCCTCACCCCAAACAAAATTTGGGGTCCCTCCTGTGTTTCGGGGCTGGGGACTCGCTCTGAAGGGGGGACACCTTTGACGACCGCGGTGGGAAACCTCTCACTGCAGATCCTGGTGGAGTTTTGTCCCGGCGGGGCCGTGGATGCAGCGATTTTGGGTAAGTAAATGGGGTTTTTATTCCAAAATTCGTGGCGGGGGCTTGTGCAGGAGGGAGGACGGGTTGGGGAGCGCCGTCGTTAGCGGCCGGGTTCGTTTGCGCTGCCGGCAGAGCTGGAGAAGGGGCTGACCGAGGAACAGATCCGCGCCGTCTGCAAGCAGCTGCTGCTGGCGCTGCAGTACCTGCACGGCCACCGCATCATCCACAGGGACGTGAAGGCCGGCAACGTCCTCCTCACCCTGGACGGGGACGTCAAATTGGGTGAGGAACGGGGAATTTGGGGTCTATGGGGCAGGGGAACATGATCCAGGGGTCTTCTCTGATGGCCGCTTTCTGCTCTTGCAGCTGATTTTGGTGTCTCGGCCAAAAACTCCAGCACCGTGCAGCGCCGGGTGTCCTTCATCGGCACCCCGTACTGGTAGGGGTGGGGCATCCCATACTGGGGACCCCATACTGGTAGATGTGGGGCACTCCATACTGGTATGTATAGGGCATCCCATACTGATAGATATAGGGCATCCCATACTGATAGATATAGGGCATCCCATACTGATAGATATAGGGCATCCCATACTGATAGATATAGGGCATCCCATACTGGTAGGTGTAGGGCATCCCATACTGGGGACCCCATACTGGTAGATGTGGGGCACTCCATACTGGTATGTATAGGGCATCCCATACTGTGGACCCCATACTGATAGGTATAGGGCATCCCATACTGATAGATATAGGGCATCCCATACTGGTAGGTGTAGGGCATCCCATACTGGGGACCCTGTACTGGTAGGTGTGGGGGACCCCATACTGGTATGTGTAGGGTATCCTATACTGGGGACCCCATACTGGTATGTTTTGGGAATCCAGTACTGGGGACCACATACTGGTGGGTATGGGGCACCTCATACTGGTATGTGTAGGGCATCCCATACTGGGGACCCCATGCTGGTAGGTGTGGAGCATCCCATACTGGGGACCCCATACTGGTAGGTGTGGGGCATCCCATACTGGGAACCCCGTATTGGTATGTGTGGGGCATCTCATGCTGGTATGTGTGGGGCATCCCATACTGGTATGTGTAGGGCATCCCATACTGGGGACCCCATGCTGGTAGGTGTGGGGCATCCCATACTGGGGACCCCATACTGGTAGGTGTGGGGCATCTCATACTGGGGACCCCGTACTGGTAGGTGTGGGGCATCCCATACTGGGGACCCCGTACTGGTAGGGGGAGCATACTGGTATGTGTAGGGCATCCCATACTGGGGACCCTGTACTGGTAGGTGTGGGGCACCCCATACCGCTATGTATAGGGCATCCCATACTGGGGACCCCATACTGGTAGGTGTGGGGCATCCCATTCTGGGGACCCTGTACTGGTATGTGTGGGGCATCCCATACTGGGAACCTCATACTGATATATGTAGGGGATACCTTACTGGGGAGCCCATACTGGTAGGTGTGGGGCAGAAATCCCTGGGGGTGGTGGGATTTGGAAGCCCAAGTGTCCCAAATCATGCGGATGCTCCCAACCGGCTCCTCAACACCAGGAGCAGCTCAGGGAACCAAATTGTTCCTCCTCCGGCCAACACCAGCTCCAGGATGGGCTTCCCAGTACCATGAGATGTATGGTACTGGTGGGTTCAAGCCCTCCTGTGGTAGCCCTGGAGGATTTGGGCTCATAGGGTTGTCTCTGGAGGGGGTGGCACCCCGGGTTGGTTTCAAGGTATCAGTCCCCGGTCCAGGGCAGTTGGACCCCTTCCCCTTTCAGGATGGCCCCGGAGGTGGTGCAGTGCGAGACGTCCAAGGAGAGCCCCTACGGCTACAAGGCTGACATCTGGTCACTGGGCATCACGCTGATCGAGATGGCCGAGATGGAGCCCCCCCACCACGAGCTGAACCCCCTGCGTGTGCTGCTGCGGATCGCCAAGGCCCAGCCGCCCACCCTGCGGCACCCCACGAGGTGGTGAGTCCCCGGCACTGGAGATGTTTCCTGCCCCAAGCCATGTCCCTGTGGTCGGGGTGCCCTCTTGGACCATAAATGATGCTGGGTTTGATTCCTCCAAGCCCGGATCCAGAGGTGGCACCATGGGTTCCCCATCTGTTGTGGTTTAGGGGTGGGCAGGCCACTAAACCCT